ACTAGGGGACCTCCTGTGTCTAAAAAGGAAGACCTACAAAGGATGGAGGACTGGAACCACCATCGATGAGGAATACTCTGCTCTGGTCCAGACCTGCAGAGAGCAAACCAGGAAAGCCAAGGCTGCAATGGAACTCCAGCTAGCTACAAATATCAAGGACAATAAAAATCCCCTTTTTAGATATGTGGGGAGTTGAAGGAAGAACAAGGGCAACATTGGACCCCTGCTAAACCAGATAGGACAACTGACAAAGGATGTCCATGAAAAAGCAAACTTGCTAAGTGGGTACTTTGCATCAGTTTTTCCACCAGTCCAGTGGGACACCCCTGCCCACTGTGGGTCAGGGAAGCCTGGGTGAGGGAGATTCCTTACCCTCCATCAAAGCTGACCTCATGAAGGAATATAGGCTGGATACCTTCAAGTCAGCTGGCCCTGATGGTTTACACCCACGGGTAGTCAAGAAGCTGGCTAGCATCATAGCTCAGCCCCTTGCACGAATCTTCAAGAACTCTTGGTGCTCTGGTGAAGTGCCCAAAGATTGGAAGAAGGCCAATGTGGTGTCTATCTTCAAGAAAGGGAGGAAAGTAGATCTGGCAAACTACAGGCCCATCAGCCTGACCTCAATCTTATGCAAGACCTTCCCCAGGATAATCAAAGAGTCCATCCTTAACAGACTAGCTGACGGCAATATCCTGAGGGATACCTAGCACAAGTTTGTTGTGGGTAGGTCTTGCTTGACCAATCTCATTTCCTTTTAAGACCAGGTGACCTATCACCTGGACAAGGGAGAGTTGATTGATGTTGTATATCTTGACTTCAAAAAGCCTTCAATCTGGTATCCCATGATCACCACTTGGCAAAACTGGCTAACTGCGGCCTCGACCTCACCACGATCCACTGGCTGGGAAACTGGCTCTGCGGCAGGACCCAGAGGGTAGTAGTTGATGGAAGTCAATCATTGTGGTGTGTGGTGACCAGTGGGGTCCCTCAAGGCTCTGTCCTAGGGCCTATACTGTTTAACATCTTCATCAATGATGTAGACACTGTAGTCAGAAGTGGGCTGGCCAAGTTCGCTGGTGACACCAAACTTTGGGGTAAAGCATTCACACCTGAGGACAGGAGGGTGATGCAGGCAGATCTTGATAGGCTCGTGAAATGGGCAGATGAGAACCTGATGGTGTTTAATACCGAAAAATGCAAGGTTCTCCACATTGGGAGGAAAAACCTGCACCATGCTTATAGGCTTAGCAGTGCTACACTGGTTAGCACTACAGATGAAAGGGACTTGAGGGTCATGACTGACTACAAGATGAACATAAGCCTTCAATGTGATGCTGCGGCTAGTAAACAGAGCAAAACTCTGGCTTGCATCCATAGATGCTTCTCAAGCAAATCCCGGGATGTCATTCTCCCACTGTACTCAGCCTTCGTGAGGCCGCATCTGGAGTACTGCATCCAGTTTTGGGCTCCGCAGTTCAAAGAGGATGTGGAGAAGCTTGCGAGAGTCCAGAGGAGAGCCACATGCATGATCAGAGGTCAGGAAAACAGACCTTATGATGAGAGTCTGAGAGCCATGGGACTCTTCAGACTGGAAAAGTGTAGGCTCAGGGGCTATCTAGTGGCCACCTACAAGTTTATCAGGGGTGTTCACCAGGATCTGGAGGAAACGTCTGTTCATCAGAGCACCCCAAGGGATGACAGGATTGAATGGTCACAAACTCCACTGCAACTGATTCAGGTTGGACATAAGGAACAACTTCTTTACTGTCCGAGCCCTCAAGGTTTGGAATAGTTTGCCGCCGGGGGTGGTTCAAGCACACACTGTTAATTTCTTCAAGGCACTTTTGGATGTTTATCTTGCTGGGATCCTATGAACCCTGCTGACTTCCTGCCCCTGGGGTAGGGGGCTGGACTCTATGATCCTTTAGGAGCCCTTCCAGCCTAAATGTCTATGAAACACTTTCTGTTGGGGGTGGGTTGCTGGAAACAACTCTTGTGCTCCAGAGTCTATACTGGCTCCCAGCAGTTCTCCAGGTGCAAACCAAGGTGCTGATTTTTACCTATAAGGCCCTAAATGGCCTGGGCCCTACATACCTAAGGGACCATCTTTTCTTTTATGCCCCCACATGATCTCTATTGTCAACTGAGAGCAGCTTCAAGCAAGTGCCATCAATGTACCAGAATCACTTCACAAAAAAGCGTGGGAGGTCATTCTTGGCAGTCACTCCTCAGATCTCTTATTCCCTCCTGCTTGAGGGAGGGGGACATCTAGTGTAAGACCTTCTTATCTGGATAAGCATTTAGCAAACAAGGCTAAGCTGAAATATTGTTTAGGGGAGGATTGTTTTATTCTATTACTTTAAAACTCCATTTGCTAGATCTGGAGCTCTATGTACCACTCAGACTCCTTGCCACACTGTGCCCCATACCCCTGTTTCCAGGACGCCCATTATAATTCTAAACAGCTAGCTGGAACCAGCCTCTGAAATTTGGGACTGTTCCAGCTAATCCAGGATATATGGTCACTACTTATAAACCGCTCTAAGCTTATGTTGGGAAGGGTGTCATATAAATCTAATAAATAAATAAATAAATTACCAGGTTCTAGTCTAAGATTGGGGTTCCTAGGCACTTTAGGTATCTATAATTATTAGTACTACTGAAGAAATAGCATTTATCTGATAAGAGAGAGCACATAGACATTCTTCAAAGCATATAAAACAAAGCAATGAACCTTCTGCAAAGCCTATACATTCACCACATTGGCAGGTGCCACATCAAATAAGGTAATACAATTCCATTGGTTTGTCTAGGTGGCTGGGAGACTATCTAACTGGCTCAGGAAGTGGCTAAAGGATTTTAAAAGATTTTTCATTTTATTGTCTCTAATCTGTATGCAGCCAGGCTGGGAGCAAGTTACAGTCTATGTTGCCTAGTCTTTGGTAGTTCATGTGAAATGAGATACTGGATTAAGTAGTGTTAAAGGACAAAACCTCATGCATTAAAAAGGCAGTGTTACAATTAATGTGAACTGACACCCTTGTTGATAGTTTCCATAAAAGCAAGGGCATGTAAAATTAATATATTTAATAATCCCAGGGCTAATTTTGTTAAGTTAAATTTGAGAAACATGATGACCTATGTCCATCTAATATTTTAGAAGCATTAAGTTCACTTGATTTTTAAAGGAAACAAATTAATGCTGCTTTGTTTTTTGGGGGTGGGAGGTTGCCTTTTGTTTGATTTCTGTCTGTCAGCTACTTGGGATTACACTTTAATCACTATGTCAATTAAATTTCTCATTACTAAGCAATTAATACTTGCATATTTTAAATGCTAAATCTATAATGGCTTTCAAGAGTGAGTTGGGCCAGCTAACATCACCTTCAACAGCCAGCAGACCATTTATAGTCTGACAAAAGAAAATACTAATCTCATGAACCCTGCTGATGCCTGCAACTTTCTGGGGGCATCTGGCAGGCATGAAAGGATCAGAAAAGGCTGCTTGATACCTGGAGAAGCTCTGATTGGAACCAGAATTGCTTCAGGTCTAAAACCGCATGATAGAGCTGTCTAAGCATCCAGCTGTAAAATTTGAGTCATTGAGAACACATCTAAGGCATAGGAACTGGACACTGATAAATTACATGGAAAGTGGGAGAGGAGGCTGTTTGAGTGGCTGGAGAATTTAGTCAGACTTCTGGCAAAATAATCCAAATGCCAGAGAGATCTTTAACCAATGCTCATGGTTACCTTGGATAATGTATAATTTTCTGACCAAAAAGAAGAAAGTAGTAACATAAATATTACTATGAAGTCTTGGATGTACTGAAATATAAAAGGAAATTCTAAAATTAAAAAAAAACCTAAAGTGTTTTTTTTTTATAGCAAAGTTTGCAATTCAATTGAAGACATATTATTAAACAGGGTGTATCTACATGTCACCCTATGTGTTGGACTTCATTTGTAGTTTTATCTTTTATATAGGTTAGCATAAACTGACACTCCATTTTGTTTTATTTAGCTATCTTACTGTTTTTATATTTTCTTGTTTTGTATGAATGTGGTATGTGCATGGTCAGGCAAGAAAGGAAATGGAAACTAAAGATGCAAATGGAAAGAAAAAAAGATAAAAATATCACACCTGTAGAAAAATGGCTGAAGATGCAGGCAGATGACCTTTGGATTTAGAGTGTGGATGTCTTTGCTTTGGGTTATCTGTAACCACAAAAGCTGAGAAGAAAACCAGTCATCACAGATGTGCAGGTGACACCCCCAGTCTAACGAATAAGTGACAAGCATGCATCTGCTACTATAAAAGATGAGTAAGAGAGAAAAGACTTTGCAGGGGGACAACTTCTGCACAACAATGAGGCATCAGTACATGTCCAACAGACCCCCAGCCCCCTTTTCCTTGTGCTCAGCTTGGTTGGCCACCAAGCTGACTTGAGTACTTAAAGACTAGTAACATCAGAATGGAGTGTCTATGTTAACGTGTGCCTATAAGTGCAGCAATTTAAGCAAGAAGGATATAATGGTCTGTACCAGGCGGGAGAAACATCCTAGGGTTGCCGTGCTCTCCCCTAGCACCCTCTACCATGCCAAGTTTGCGTTAACGCACCCTCGTTCTCGCCTGCCACATCTTGATCTTAGGAAAGTTAAAGGGAGGTTGCCTCTTGTCTTCCTGGTCATGGTTCCTACTACCCCAAACCTTGTTCCGAACACCCCAGCCTTATGGGCTATGCGTGGCTCCAACCACCCCTGTACCATGCCCCAAGCTTCGCAGATAGACCAAACAACGTCCGGTACATCTCATTCGCTGCGCCCTCTCTGGCACTCAGGCTCTCTGCAGCCCTAGTCTTTCAGTGTGCCCCACAGGCACTCTGGCTTCCGCAGCCTTGTCTCAGACCTGTGCCCCACAGGCGCTCTGGCTTTTGCAACCTTGTCTCAGACACGCGCCCCACGGGTGCTCTGGCATCTGCAGCCTTTTCCGCGCTGCCCCCTTTACTCTGGGGTTACTGCAGCCTTGGGGCTCAGGTGGCCGTAACTGTGCCTGACCCCAGCTCTCCTCCTTGGGGTCTCAAACCCCCCCGCAGGTGGGCTCAGGTGGCCGTAGCCATGCCTGGCCCCTTTGCTCCAAGGCTGGGGTCTGCACACCCCAAATGCTGTGCCTTCTCTGGCACCTTTCTTGCTGCCCCTCTCTCTGGGGCTGGGGCTCCCACACCACCGTGGGCCCCCTATGAGGCCTCCTCCATCCCCTTATAGCCTCTCCCAGTCCTCCAGTCTTACAACAACAACAAAACAATAACACAAGCCCCTGGGCTATAACACGAAGCTAAACCGCTCAGCTGACCTCCTTTGAGTCACCCTCCGTGGGTGCTCCATCCTTCATTAGCACAACTGACTGCTCATGTTCAGGTCTTTTCCCTTTGCTTAGTCAGGCAGCACTCCTTCTCCTTGGCTGCCAGCTGAGATAACCCACTTCCAGCCTGTGCTTTATAGAAGTCAGCCCTGCCCCTTCAGGTCAGCTGACTCTACAGGTGTGGGCCCTTAGCTCCTCCTGATTGCCCTGGCAACCGGCACCTGGTGGGCATTCCTGCTCTTCCAGTAGCAGGCACCTTAGTGCCCTGCTACATGGTGTAATATTTTTGTGTTCAATAAACATGGCTTAAACTGTGCACATGGTGCAGTAACCACCCATAATGCACCCTGCTTTAGTACTTTCAAAGTGAAGTACGAAAGCATGGTGCCATAGCTGCGTTGCCATATGGTGACATGTAGATACACCCAACAGATTTGTAAAGATAACCAAGCAATAAGAACTACTAAACAAAGATTCTCTAAGCTTCTGATATCAACCTTAATAACCAGTTCATATGCATAGAACTTTCATGGAAAATTCCATCTATTCATGATAGTTTAGTTGCTTCTTATAACAGAAGCAAGTGTGTGCCTTTTATATGCATATCTTCTTCTGACAAGTTTTGTAACAGGGCTGGTTTTGAAGATTAAAAGATGGAGGTTTGACTCATTAGGCAGCTTCAGTTTAAGTCATATTTTAGGATGGGGTTGTCTATACTGAAATGATATATGGGAAGAAACATTCCCCTTGAAATAACCAATCTTTTTTATCCAATTTGCAAAGAACTAGATGAGGCCAAGTCAGGACATGCTGGAACTGGATT